AATATATTTAGCAATTTATTTAATAATAAACGTAATCATGTTCCACTGGCGTCTAGGAAATATTTTTATAATTATAAATAGAGCAGATTTTATGTTATTATTATGAGTAAAAAATGTATTTGTCTAAATGAAAAAAGTTATTTTACAAGTTAAAATTTGTCAAAAGTATTCTTACGAAACTTATGTTTCTCTTAAAGGATTACCTGCAATAAGTTTAAGAAAAAAGAACTTGTCAAGTAGTTAAAGGAAAAACAAGTGACAGAAGTGGAAAAATATTTTAAATTAAATTTTCTTCATATTTTTAATTTAGAATCGTGTCTGAAATTGTATAAAAACAATTTTACTCTTAGAGAAGAAATATGGCGATTAGTTTTTTTCTTGATTGGAGATATTGAATATATTTTTGATTCGATTTGTAGAATATTTGGAAATAATTTTACTACGATTATTTCTAATGATGATTACTATAAACAGTTGAACAATGAAAAATCTCCTGCTATTGTGGTTAAAGAATTTGTGAGAAAACAATGAGATCAAGTGTTTTACGATTTTTACGATAGAAGAACGTTTTTATTTTTTATTACGAAATTTGAAGTTGATGAATGGAGAAATAATTTCAGTAAATTAAGTTATTGTAACGATGAAAGACTTTATAAAGAAAAGATGGATTGGAGATTAAAAAAAGCGACAATTTTAAACTTGAAAAAGAAGAATGAAAGTGAGATTGATGATATTTTAGAAGAAAAATTAACAGATTATAAATTTTCACCATCTTCCATAATGTAAAACAAATCTAAATCTTATTTTCAACTTGAACTTTGTCAATATAAATAAATATAAAATGTAAGCGTAAACTGTTTTCTGATGAAAAAGTTGTTAAAATTTACATTGTAATTTGGGCTATTGTTATATGATTTCGCGGACATCAATATTTTTAATCTCGATATGAAATTTATTTAGAATAGTATTTTTTTAAAATATTAATTTAAACCCTATAAACTATTCAAAATGTTTTTTTAGTTGTAACTCAACACGCATTTTTTTTAATAATTATGTAAGTAAATATTTTAAAAATATTTAATCTTCAAATAAAAAAAAAC